GGATCCGGATCCATGGAAAATTGAGGATCTTTGGGGCACTTGGATCCAGATCCATGGAGAATTGAGGATCTTTGGGGCACTTGGATCCAGATCCATGGAGAATTGAGGATCTTTGGGGCACTTGGATCCAGATCCATGGAGAATTGTGGATCTTTGAGACTCCTGGATCCAGATCCATGCAGAATTGTGGATCTTTGAGCACTTATTCCCACCGGGAATGAGTTCCCCCCCTCATCCTCCTATTCCATGATATTCCAAACAAATCTTCCGGGAACAGCTGCCCTTTCCTACACACAGCGCCAAATCTGAGGGGAAAATTTGGGAAAACCTTTATGATCCGAGATTCCATCCCATCCCAGATGTGGGATAGGCCCATCCCTCCCTCCTGGAGTTGCTGCATCCCATGGGAAGGCCGAATTCCAGAGGCGGATCCACATCATGGAATCGCTGAGCTCGAAGCCCCTCAGGCCTCCGGGTCTTCGTTTGTTGTCAATCCAAGGAATTTTGGCTCCACACCAAGCTTTTTTTTTGGGAATTAACAATTTTCCAGAGGGCCCAGAGGAGCTGAATTCCAGCTGGGATAGATTTTAGTGGGAATCAAACACTCACTGTCTTTTTTTTTCCTGTTTTTTAGGGCGATCGGGGACTTCCGGGACCCAAAGGACAAAGAGTAAGGACATTCCAAAGGGGGAATTTTTGGGATGAGAGGGAAAAAAAGGTTTCCAGGGTTTTCCAGGGAGTTGTTCAAATGACTCCGAGATCCTATAAAACTTGGGGAAAAACTTGGACGATGTTTTCGGGCACGGGGTGGGAATTCTTGGGATCGGGGAGTTGGACTTGATTGAGTCATTCCAGCTCGGGGTATTCCATGATTCCAGGATTTTGTGGGATGTTTAGATGTGTTTTCAAATGTCTGGAGCGTCAGGAATTTTGTAGGATTTATATTGGAGAAGTTTAAACGAGATTCCAGGGGATGGGATGCAAATCATTCCTTAGGAGAGGACTTGAAATCCCGCTTTCCATTCGTGGGGTTGTGCCTGGATTAAGATCCCACTGCCAATGGAATCTTTGGGATTTGAGGTTCCAGGACTTCCAGTGTGTCCCTCTGGTCCTTTAAATCCTTTAAATCCTTTAAATCCTTTAAATCTTGTCCTTGCTCAGGCATTTGGGAGATGTTTTTCCTTCTGTCCCATTGGAGTTTCCCTTGGAATAACTTCTTTCACTCCAAGAAAAACCTGGATCCATCCTCTATATGTTGTAGATGAATTTAGGAGAAGACAACCCACAGATCCCAAACTCATTTTTTGGGATCTCCACCACTTCAAACCCACTTTGTTGGTCCCATCCCTGCACTGGATAAGATTCCAGGGGATGGGATGCAAATCCCTTCCTTAGGAGAGGACTTGAAATCCCACTTTCCATCCGTGGGGTTGTGCCTGGATTAAGATCCCACTGCCAATGGAATCTTTGGGATTTGAGGTTCCAGGATTTCCCGTGTGTCCCTCTGGTCCTTTAAATCCTTTAAATCCTTTAAATCCTTTAAATCCTTTAAATCTTGTCCTTGCTCAGGCATTTGGGAGATGTTTTTCCTTCTGTCCCATTGGAGTTTCCCTTGGAACAACTTCTCCTTTCCCTCCAAGAAAAACATGGATCCATCCCCTCCATGTTGTGTCTGAATTTAGGAGAAGACAACCCACAGATCCCAAACTCATTTTTTGGGATCTCCACCCGTTCAAACCCACTTTGTTGATCCCATAAATAAGGATCCCATAAATAAGGAATCCCATAAATAAGGAATCCCATAAATAAGGAAAATACCCACAGAAGACAACCTACAGATCCCAAACTCCTTCTTTGGGAACTCCACCTGTTCAAATCCCACTTTATTGATCCCATAAATAAGGAATCCCATAAATAAGGAA